CCAGCTAAAAAATATCGAGATATGAATTTTGGGTCATATCGCCCAGCCCTAATTGTGGCTATGTCCAAATTTTATATACAGGCTGTGAAGATAAATTCTGACTGCCTTTTGTTGTGTGGCAGTTATTTGTGATGGATAAAGTTAGCATCCAGGCTTGGGAACGAATGATTTCATGGAAATTCTTTTGTGTGTGTGCAGGATCCAGAAATCCTGTGCTGGGACCTAAGAGAGCCGGGAAGAGTTGTGTTTTCTCTTAAAAGGAACGTGGCCACTAATCAGCGCATCTACTTTGACCTCGATCAGTAAGTAACAGGGAAACTGCATCAAAACTGCATTAATCCTGTTGTATGTGAGTGTGATGTGATTCATCTGGTTTGTCTGTGTTAAATAGCAGCAAGGATCGTCGTATTAGCGGATTCCCACTCGTGTTTCTGTTTGTGTGCGTTTAGATCTGGCAGGTACCTGCTGAGTGGAGACACGGAGGGAGTGGTGTCAGTATGGGACACCCACACAGCGCCTCCTGATGGTAATGAAGAACTACTGCAGCCTCAGCTTAGGTTCCAGGCGTACTGGGACTGCACCAATGGAGTCGGGTATGATTACTAATCTAATCCAGCTCACTGACAGATTAGATTCCAGTAATGAAAACATTTAAAATATTAGACTGAAGGTGGATCATTCTCAATAATTAACATGAGAGGAAAAGTGTTATTTTACAAAGGTGAAGCTAATCTTGATCAGCTGCATTGTTGTTCAGTAGAAACAAAACTGAATAAAAGCAATTAACAAAGTTTCAGCTTCTTCTAATTCACTTATGTTACGCTGTTGTTCAGTTATGCTGCTGTTTTGCTGTGTCAGGCTGTTTGGGCCATGCAGTCATTTTTCACAAAATCATAGGAGGCAAAACAAATGATCCAAAACATTCAGTGACAGAGCAGCTTTGGCTTTAGTCAAGCATGTCACTGCTTTGTGAGAGCAGAGAGTGAAAACCAAACCACAGCTTCTCAATAATTCTGGATACTCTGGCACAAAAAACAGCTTTGATTGTGAATACGTGATTGCAGAGAATAAAGCCAAAGATGTACTAAAAATTAAACGGTGACTTTGAATTAAACACAGATGGTGTAAATGTGCAGCAGTTATGTATAAAATGTGGAGAAGCCTGAGGTAATTCAGTTGTTTTCAGTGAAATGAAGCATTTTCTTTTTTCAAGCGTGATGCTGCGTGTGCAATAGCTGAAAGTCCAGTCATGTCACGCTAGCAGAAACAGTTTTTTGCACAGCTTATCACGCCATTATTTTCATGTGTCCCTTCCTGGATCTTCCCTCTGCCCTCCTCTGCTGCTCCGTCCTTCTCCTCCTCCTCTTCTTCTTCTACAGTATCCATCCCTTCATGCCGCTGCTGGCAACATCCAGCGGCCAGCGGCAGTTCCCGTGGCCCGGCGACAGCGAGGGTGACTCGGCCTCTGACACGGAGGGGAGCGGCGCTGTGATGTCACAGCAAGACACGCGGCAGGACAACGTCCTGACCCTGTGGTGGGCAGGACCGCTTAGCCCCGCCGCTGAAGGGAGCCAAGACCAGAGCACTACAGCAGCAGAGGCCTGAATATCTGTCACTGCACTCAGCTGATACAAATCGAGTTACGCATGCCATGTGATGTTTGTTGTGCGTAAAGCTGATTTTGGTTTGTACAAATAGGCCATCAGCGGGCTGTTTGTTTGTAGTTTAACTGCCAACTTTACCAGAACTTGGAAAAAAAGGTTAATGTCAAAGCCAAAAGTTCAGAGGTTCTTTAAAGCCTTAATGCTGAGATAAGAGGTGTGTTTTCTAAGGAGACGTTA